TCAAGCAATTCGGTTGGACATACTGTTCCACGCCGCTCCAATCAATAAATTATCGACTTATTGATCGGCTGTTGGTCGGATAGATAATAGCTGAGGTGGTGCAATATGCATGTGTGTCAATGGGAAATAACGTTGGTGCGAGCGAAGCGAGCACTCTAGCAAGTCTGGAAGCCCGGCGAAGTCAGGCGGACAGACTTGTATTTCAATAAGCGATAAGTAGAAATGCTTCGTAATGATGCCATAGTCTTATGACAAAGAGACCGCATAACGGCATCTCTCAGATGCATCGAACGATGAGAACTTTACGAAAACCAGTGCTTTACATCCTACTCTTTCTAAGCAATCATGTTCAAAATATTTCCCATAGTGAGCTGAATCGGCGAGCCCAAAGTTCCAACAGAATGCCTTCTCAAGAAAATCGTAGGTCTACTACCGACGAAAGCGTCATCGCGTCTGTCCAACATGAAACAATTCGAGCAGCAGTTGCGCAATACGAGAGTGGAGCCTCAGTGCCTTATAATAGAGCTATTCGATGTGAAGTCTCAATACACTAACGTCCACGTCGAGCCTATACTAAAGCCTCTATCAGAGGTGTAGGGCAAACCTTTCTCCGGCATCAGCAACTTCGGTCTGAATAATGCATAGATAATTGTCATGGTCGAAGAGTGTTTAATGTGTTTGTTTTCAGATGGTCTGGCTTGTTTTTTTTTGCAGAGAAGAGATTTGGCTGTGGTAAAAACTGGCTCCCATTCATGCTTTATGAGCAAGATCGAAAAGCTGGTCTTAGCTCGCTTTCCTCTAGTGTGCTGTCGCTGCATTGGCTACTATTGAGTAGTGATCTCGATACAGGCCAATAGTAAAGTCCACTCATTCTAGATCCGACGAAAAAATTCTCAGCACAACTTCGACAAGGCCCACCACTTTCCAGGGATAGCCAGCTGACCCAATTGCAGAAGCTGTTCCAAAATTTTGGAAAATTATCCCAGCACCTTCCTAACTGTGCAGCTTAGAAGAATATAAATCAGCTCCAAAACAGCAGTAACTTCCTTAAGAAAATGCTGACTAAAAATGAAGAAACATTTGACTTTTCTAGATCAAAACGACGGGTGGCTACTGAGCAGTAGATCAACAGTGGATGACAACTTCCAATATTTCATGGGACTTCTTTTTAGCTGAAGCTGATTCTCTCAGCTCCTTACGACGAGAAGTGCTTCCAAGCAATATATTATGAGCATGATTTCCTTTTTCTTCCGTGCTTTCACAATATTTCGTACCTTTTCTACGCGTCTGTGTTAAGAACTGCGCTCTAGCCACGATTCCTTCCTGTTACACATCTGACTCCATTTTGCACCAAATGAGACTTTTCTAAGTTGCTCCCGAGCACCTTAGAAAAAACTCAGCTGATCTTAATCTGCATCTCCTCATATGTGTACTATTTCGCACAGAAACTTAGACTGAGTGTTTCGAAGAACTAAGGCTGAGTTTTGACCGAATATCGTCGGTTCGTTTTACTTTGATTCAGCCAAGGATTCAATGTGTCAGTAGAGCTTGCTATTTTATGTTGGCGGATGCCAGTTTAATTCAGGTGAGCTGACTGGCTTTCAGTGGAGATGTCATTTAAGATCATCTTAACTGAGTGAACTTTACTACGGGCCACAGTCAGAGATGGATGAATGCTTCAGGATCATAATCGAACGGTCTAATAAGGGAAGGTTTTGACCTTAAAATCGAACTTCGAAACGGGACCTCATGATTCTGTAGCAAATTTGATGGCCATTCAGAATCGTACTTTGTTTTTGCTGCCAACTTACCTGAAGCTGGCCGCTACTTCCCGAAAATCGGCCGTAGAGGAAGGAAAGAAGGCGCTGGTGGGGTAAAAGGCTCTGAATGGACAACATAGTATTACCACTAGCTACTACATTGCTAGTGCAGGCTAGCACAGATATTCTGAGCGACCCCTTCATCGTGCAGAGCGCTGAATATCGAAGCATTTTTGCAGTACGGGTAGTAGCACGGTAGGGACCCGAAAAATCGGAATTCTTACTTTGCGCTAAAACTTCACATAGAGGAGTCAACTGAGATGCTGAGTCCAAAAACCACTCTTACTCGACATGGCAACCTGTATAACCTAGGGCAAGGGTGAGATTTACCCAACAGTTCAAAATCTCGGAATAGCCTCGAACCCAAAGCAATGGGCCTATTCGCCGTTTCAGGTGTCACCGTGTCAAATAAGCGTGACTTGTAGACTCATCACCTCAATAATCCCTACACACAATGTTCTAGCAAAAAGTAAAATTTTGGATTTTCTGGTCCCTACCGTGGTGGTACCCCTACCGTAAAATATATGTCGTTATTTGCAGCACTGTGTGCGAAGAGGAGGTGGCTCAGAATCTCTGAGGTAGCCTACACTAGCAATGCAGCACCTAGTGGTAACACTGCGTTGTCCACTCCGAGACTTACCGCAGCAACAATGCAGCGACTACAGATGCAATCTGCGCTGGTGCACAGTCAGTGGCAGCGATGTCCGAGTGGTTAAGGAGATTGACTCGAAATCAATTGGGCTCTGCCCGCGCAGGTTCGAATCCTGCTCGCTGCGAATGTTTTGCATTCCTCTCTTTTGGAAAAACACTTGTCTAAATAACCGCAGCGGCAACGCAGCGATTACAGAAGCAATCTGCGCTGGTGCACAGCCAGTGGCAGCGATGTCCGAGTGGTTAAGGAGATTGACTAGAAATCAATTGGGCTCTGCCCGCGCAGGTTCGAATCCTGCTCGCTGCGAATGTTTTGCATTCCTCTCTTTTGGAAAAACACTTGTCTAAATAACCGCAGCAGCAATGCAGCGATTACAGAAGCAATCTGCGCTGGTGCACAGCCAGTGGCAGCGATG